CTACACACAACTGCCGGATCTGATCCACCAATTAGCGGATCTGATCCGGCAATTTGGCTAAAGGTGGATCTGATCCCCAAATTGGTAAATCGAGTGGGAAAGTACTGCCAGTGAGTAGCATTCAGAGGCTTTGGCTAATGGAAGTTTCAGGTAATGTACTGGTACTTGTATGTTCATCCACCCCATTTATGATAATTGCCTCCGACCTTCCTATGAAAAATATGTACATGTATGTGTATGCGCAATGATGCAGATACACACATTTTATAATAATTGCACACATTTTAACAATAATTACCCTAGCTATCCCGCCTCCTAAACACCACGTCTCCACCATTCTTATTTGGGCCACAACCAGACCGGCCTGATTCGTCGTCAGCACATTCACCAGTACAATAATGATGCACAAGTCACATGCATAGGAGTGTGGCAGTGACAGCATGCATGACACTATTTGAAAGGTTCGTTCGACTACCGCACTGTTTGCCATGCCATTGCAACAATATGTGTGGCATCTAGAGTTGTAATCTGGCTCCTGACCTGTCTACGCTTGCTATTCCTTTGTCAGTGGCGTAGCGGGAACCAGTATTGTGCATGCTGTGGGAGATTTCTCCACAAAGCAGTACACGTACCCTTTATCATGTTGTGGAATTTTCGTTCCATTTCAGTGCATTTTGCCGGTATTCCGGTAATTGTTCGTCAGTGTTTTTAAAGAATTTTTCAATTCTCTGATTGCAATTAGGGATCAACCGATGTAGTAGGTTTTAACTGCCGATCCGATGTCCGATGTTTTAATCAGGACATTGGCCGATGTCCGCTCTGATGTTTTCACCAACAATAACTGAAACGTAACCTTAACAGGATGTAGGCCTACTAACACCACAAAACCAGTGTGCTCCCATAAAATGTCAATTTATACATTACCAGTAATAGAATTAGTTTTTGCCCTCACAGTCATTGTTGAGAGAATAAAGCGCGTAAACTTAGTACATCGATCGCCGCCCGCACTGCGCACCCACACAGTGCTTACCGTGGTACATGTACGTATACATGCACAATAGACACAGCACTTTGGGCTGAATCACGGTAGCCTTTAGTCAAGGCACACATGGCACCGCTGTACCATTGCATTGGTGTCTTCATTGTGCATGCCAATGGCAGAGGTGCACGTTGTGTGTTCAGGTAGCCTCGCGTGCCTTGAATGAAGGCTACATCATAGGCTACCTTCAGACTGGTCACACTAGCACCTTGTGTGTGGTGCCACTCATGTAGTTCCCGGGCTGTTTTCATGACTGTCAATGGAAACGGTATACATATACATGTACACTGTACACTGACTGCCCCATATGGGGCTGGCCGCGGTCTGTGCATCGAGTTGTTGCAGCATGGATCATGTAATTTTCGGGTGTACATGTACTTTACTTGGGTTTAACCATGGTATAGCCAATCATTTATCACACCAAATGAAAAAAAAAACCAGTTTGTATTCAAGCTCAAATAAAAAATACATGTATGATATTTTTGTTTTCAGATGTTTTGCCGATATTGCGGAACATCAGCCCATCCGATCACTGGTATTAGCTACTCTTCCCCAAGAGAAAGCAGCACAACAATTGCATGGTATCTGGGATTGACAGCATGTCCGGGTTTTTGCACAGTATATCAGCCCAATATGCTAGGCTATGACCCTTATCAGAAATCCTGTTATCTTGATTTCTTTCGCACAAATGACATAGGGGAAATCTTTCACACCTAACCAACGTACACTACATGTAAGTATCTAAAAAACTGAAATCGATTTTGACATGATTTTTTCTTGTTGCATATACAATTTCAGGTGAGAATTACTCAAATAATTGGTTTTATGTTTAGCCTCAGCAAGTCACATTTCAACAAATTGTATTTTCTAGACGACTGTTGGAAAAAGTATTAAATCATTTTTCACCAAAATGACAACATTCCGGGCAAAAAGATTTCAAAGATTGTCTGGCACTGTTACCGGTATTTACTGGTACTTGTACTGGTACAATTAAGTACTGGTCAGTACTTTACAGTAAGATACTCAGTATCGAATGACTTCAGTAGTCCTGTGTTTGAGATACTGTACATGTACATGTAAGTTTGCAAATGGTCCCTTTAATGCAACAGAGAACTGTTTCAACACTTCAAATCTTAGTACTGGTATCGCACGTATGTTTTGTTAGCATACTAATATGTACACTTGTGCATGAGCACTTCACATGTACACATAGGTGTACATGTACATTGTATGTGGTGTAATATTTTCACCATCCTGTGGCTCATTTACACTACATGTACAGTAGTCAGTACACTGACAGAAATTTATGTATTCCTTGACTGTTCATTTACTGCATGTATACTGCCAGTGAAGTCAATGAAATTTAGTTAGCATTATGGAGACATAAATGAACAGGTACTTGTA